AATTCCCAATTAAAATGAACTAAAATTACCCTTTTTATGAAGTAAGGTTTGAAGAATGAATTCTCAAATGGCCAATTTTTGAACAAAAAATGAATGATGATATCTTTAGGCATGTTTTCATGTATGCAACCATCTTAATAATCGTCTTAACATCCGTTTTCAAAAATAGCGTATGAGCATCTTAACACGGCTTGCCTAACCTTACAACATAATTTAATAAAAACATTTTTCACGCTTTGAAGCAAATTGGTCACGATGCTTGACTTATGCCTTGAATGGCTTAGAGATTCAATGATGGTTGATTTCTAAATAGAGTGATACTAGTATGTGTGAATTAATGCTCCACGATTCTTGATACATTTGTCATTAAGGATATCATAGCCTCATATAGACGAGAAACCAAACATATATCAAGATCAATCATTGAAATCGAATATGAACTCATTAGAACTTGAAACATACCATGGTTAACTTAAACCCATGAACCACTGTTAAACTAATTACAAACCTTCTTTGAAATGAATGTGATGAGTCCATGTTGATCTTCAAGCGCATTATGGCCCTGAATCTTGAAGTTTACCCATTAAATCAATTTTGATCTTTCATCTTGAACTTGATTATGAAATCAATTCTTGCCTAACCAAAATTAGGTAGCCCCTAGATGAACTTCAACACACACTGCACTTTTTCTTGAATATGAGGGTAATGCACACTGATGAAGAAAACAACCCGAAATATTGACAATCAACAAAACCTTATTTCCTCAGTCTTCACTAGAACCATGATAAAACATTAATCACTTGATGCCTCTTGAGAAATCTTGAAGCATATATATTGGCTACTTGATGAATCTTTGCAAAGAAAAGCCTTGTAGCTGGATCAACTTTGATAGAAAGATATTGATGATGCTGTGAGCCCAAACCTTTGCTTCCAACTTTGACAAAAGGACCTCAAATCAAATAGGAAACTCCGATTCAAAGAATCTCTCAATTCCATGCCTTAGAAGATCAATGCAATGTATGATTATGAGTTATGACCTAATGGAGATGCAGATGATCGCGAGAAAAAAGAAAGTTAAGGTTAGAAAAAGGTGGAACAAATTTGGAGTATGACACTAACAACCAACACAAATACACAATTCCTAAATCACATTAGAAACATTAACACTATATTTAATTCTCTAATATAAAAATCGTGAAACATGTACATGCGCATTGTTTATGCAACAATTATCAAGCTAACACTATCATGCATTTTCATGATTGTGTCAAAATCAAAACTCCAAACCTATTTTTATAGCTCTTAATTTCGAAATAATGAGGAATGAATGTGGGAAATTCACCTTAGATACAAAGATGATGCTGATGATTATGCTTAATCTATTTGCTTGCTCCTTTATCTGAATTTAATTTTCTATCTACTCTTTAAGTCATCCATCTTTTTCAAATTGTGAGTTATTGAGTAATTTCTTCCTCCATTAAATGTTTTATCTTGAATACAACCAAGGATGAAGGTTAAACAAATAGAAAGATGGGAAAATAGTGATTTGAGAGAGAGAGAAACCTTGCTCAGTATCAATTTGAACTTAAATTTATTGTTATGTTGAACTTGAAGAGCTTAAATCCTTGTCTCCCTTCTCCAGTTTTGTGTGCCAAACGTCACATCGGAAAATGATTATGATTTCCTCTCAACTTTTTCCTTTAGCCCTTTGTTCACTAATTATAATTTTGTGTCGTGATGATTTTCTATTAACTTCCATTAGTCTAACTTGAGTTGAAAAATATCATATAATCTTTAAAAAATGACTAAAATGGCATTTGAGATAAATAACAAATTTTCTCTCCACTTGAGTTAATGAAACTCAACATATTCCCTTTTGCCTAATTCTTAATTTAACTGAAGTAGGAAATTTTAAAACTAAAATTATTTAATAAGATAACTTAAATGAAACACTAGTGCTTAAGAAATTATTCAATCATCCATACATAGAAAGAACTTCCTTTTACCCTCATTCTTATATTTCTATAAATTCACACTTTTTTTTATTATTGTCCCTGTTGAGATTGTGATTCTTTATGTTGAAGCAGTGCAACTCAACAGAAATAAGGATTAGTCAAAATTAGCCTAATGTGTGTGTTGAGTTGTTTAAATTTTGAAGTGTCGAATCAGGTTGCTTGACACAAAATTTCGACTTAGACAAAAATAGTAAGTTTGCGATTTTATAATTTTGGGTTTTCTTCAATTATAAATAAAGGGAGTAACCCTTATTTTGTATATGGTCTTGTAATCACTTGCAGTTGCAATACTAACAAGTTTTTCACAGTTTGTGGGTGGAGATTCCGCAGTTGAAGTTATTCTCTTCTTCTTTTATTTCGTTAAACTCAATCTTTCTTTCTTCTTCTATTAATAGTTGTTACGCATAATCTTTCTTGCAATAAAGGTGGAATTGTTTCACTCAAGAGAAGAGTGAAGAACAAGAGTTTTGATCAAGTTGATTGAATCTTGTTCATTAAGATTGATTAGGAATTCTCAAAAAAGATTGGGTTAATTCCAACAATCCCCCTTAAAATGATTCCATCCCCGAAATTCACATTTTTATTTGTTTTTATGTAAATCTTTTATGCGCATTACTGTCAATCTTGTAAATTTGCTTACCTAAACACTTAGTTCCTTTTTAGAATTCATGATTACATTACTGTAAACTTCAATAGTCACGAGGCTTTTCAATTACTCATTTTGTATAAATTTTTATGTTCATTGGTGTTCCTCCATGAAACCCTACATTTCTCCCATCTTTTCTGGCTTAACTTTGGGTTGCATTCTATGTGTTATTCATTGTAAGACCTTACAATTTTCAAAATTTTCTTTTACATATGAGTTGTTTTCCTTCCACTTGTTGAATTTTTACTTATTAAGGGTGTTTCCTCCTCCACTACTAGAAAAACTCTGTTTTCCTGGGAATTTTGACAAAATTTTCGTAGGAAACGTATTACCTGCGATTCTTCCTACTATTTTCCGCTCCCAGCTAAAACATTCGTGGATAATTAATTTAGCAGATAAAGTCGCAGGAAATATCGCAGAAAACAGTCGCAGGAAAATGTCGCAAATAAAATAGATAAACTCGCAGGAAAAAAACCGCAGGTAATTGAAATTATCGCAGGAAAAGTCGCAGCAAATTGTGAGTTCGCAGCTAAATTCGCAAATAATTTCTCTCTCAGGTTTTTAATTTTTATTATTAATTGTTTTTAATTCATATTTAAAATATTATAGTTATTTTTAAATATCAAAGTAACAATAATAATAATTTTCTTTAAAAGTATTTTCTCATATTTGTTACTTAAAAATAAAAATTAAATTTACTTAAAATTTTTGAAATATAATCAAAATTTACAATAAAAATAACAATCAATCATTCTCTGAACAGCCTATTTATAGAATACTGTGTCATATGTTTGACGATAACTACATGACATACATATCTACTCCATCATCAAACTGCATGTTGAATTAAACATTAATGGACTTCGATTACATCATCTTAATTTGACTCTGTCGAATTCTAAAGCTATACGAGTTTTAAGTTCAATCCAGTACTAGCTTATGAATCTAAAGCTACATCAACTTTATGATCTTTGAATTGTGTGTCAAACACTTGGCTTTTAAGTTGAAATATCTAGAAAAACCATTTTCCTTCCACGAGTCCAGGATTTCTCGAGACGCCTTTTCTCCAGCCTTTGTAGCTTTGCAAGCTTTTAGAATAGGAAATGTGATTCAGTGCCAAGCTCAGAAACTCCATTTTCTAATGGAGAGATTTCCTCCATGCAGATAATGTACTCACTCAATCCTGCAACATTGAAATATATGATAAATTGTTCAAACAGTAAGATAGAACTGATTAGAATATCAAGGAAGTGCATCTTACAATTGACTGGCTTTTCATGCTACCGACATCTTGTTTTGAGTTTTGTTGAAGTGAGGGCATAAAATAATATGTATGTTTCCTGTGACAGCAGTCTTCTTTGATACCTCAGTAACCTGAATAATTTCCAGATATTACATGTTAAATATAAATATAAAAGAATGACAACTAGTCAATACAATTATTAAATAAGCACAAACTGTATGCAAAGGAAACCAAACCATAAACAAAAATTATGAAACTTGCAACAAACAATAAGTGAATATTTTCAAGCTATGTAAGACTGGGATCCTAGGGAAAAATCTTGGAGAAACAACATAAAAATATTGAACCAAGAAGACACTGTCAACCTTTATAATTAAACATATTTGTAAAAACTAAATATCTTTTATGTGGAACAAGCTTAGCATATGCTACCTTTGAATCATCCAACTTATGCCAAGTGTCTGGAACAGTGGGAACAAAGCAGAAATAATGCCTAGAGTTAGCTGAAAATCCAATATGCACAACAACTGCATATAGATCATATTTCAATGGTACCTGTCAACATAAAAATGAGTCAAAAATGAAGAATTCACAAGAGAAATGTAAGTGGGAAAATAAAATTAAAACCTACATTATTGTTTTGATGCATTTTAGACATATTCAACATTTTCTGGGACAACAAAGGCAAACTCAACCCCTCCCGCAACATAAGTGAATATAAATTAAGTGCGGAATCTGCATGAGCATTGACAGCAAGGCCTGCGATCATTGATGTCCATGATACCGAGTCCTTCTTCTACATCTCTCCAAACGCCGCCAATGCTTTCTCAACCGCTCCAGACTTGCAATACATATCAATCAAAGCATTTCCAACATAAATATCCGTCTTCAAATCATGTTTCCTTATATAGTCATGAAAATCCTCTCCAACATCCAGTGAGCCGATATGAGCACACACAGAGAGCATGGTTGCAACCGTTATTTTATCTGGCTTCACCTTAGTTTCCATCATTTCTTTGAAAAGTCTCACCGCCTTTGCAAACTGACCTACTTGAGAGTAACCGATGATCATAGGAGTCCACGATATCACATCCCTCTATGGCATATCATCAAACAACTCCCTTGCAGCAACCATGTTTCTTGCTTTCCCATAACCCATGATCATGGCATTCCAAGAAACCATATTCCTATCATGCATTCGATCAAATACTCGTCGGGCCAGATCAACCATACCCCACCGTCCATACATATCAATTAACGTATTTCCCAAATAAACACCAACCTTCACCTTATTTTCCTCAATGTACTCAATCATGGCATCAACAACACTCCACTCACCCAAAACAGAACAAGCCAAAACAACTTTCACCATTGTCACAACATCACCCTTCACATTATCCATCCTCATTGCTTCAAAAACATCCAAAACCTCTCTATACCTCTTACATTGGCCATACCCACAAATCAAAGAATTCCAAGAAACCAAATCCCGTTCAGACATTTCATCAAACACCTTCCGCGCAAAACCCATCAGAAACGCAATGTCCGATAAAATCTTAGAGACAAATCAATTTCTCCATTCATCAGGCCAACCAAACACCTGCTCATGCTTAAACCAATACTAGTTCCACGTGTTCTCTCGAGATAGATGGACTTACCTACATGAATGAAGTGAATATCTTCACTTGAGAATCTAGAGGAATACCTTCACCAGTATCCTCAACCGATACAATCAAATTGAAAGTTGTGAATCCTTCCCAGCTTCGGCAACCATTGGAAACTGGGGAACCACTTAACATATCATCTATTTCTTTAGTGGATTCTTTCTCAACTTCTATTGAATGGAAAACCTCCTCGATAAGATGGATAGTGACAAAGATATGTCCTTTGTCTGTGAACTACCAAACAAATAAAAGCATTACTAACCCCAAACAGAAGACATAATTATACACTTATACTCATGAGTACAGCCAAAGTAAAATTGCAGCAAGAATATCAATTCATTTTAGGAGCATGAAATAGCCTAATAGCATGCAAGCATTCAATGGCAGAAACAATTGTTATGGCTCTGCAAATTCCAGTTAACTTATCGCCAGTAGCATCTTTTCCAAGAAACCTATCCAGCATCTTCCCGAACGAACCAAGAATACTGCCGAAAGATGAGCTATTTATGTCAAACTTAACTTGTTGACATATATCATGGACCTGCGAGAAGCCGGACCAATTAGTATACTTATTAAATACAAATCAATCCTAATGTAAATAAATTAAATCAGAAAATTATAAACAACTGAAAATAGAACTATACCAAGCATGCTTTTTGAGTATAGATATGAACACAGTCTTCTTCATCTGAAGAAGTAGCAGCAACCAATTCCATCAGAAACGCAATGTCCGATAAAATCTTAGAGACAAATCAAACGAAAAATCAGAGAAAGTTACGAAAAATCTAAAAATAAGCAAATGATAATAAATCGAAGGCATTAATACCTCGTGAGAAGAAAGTTCGGGTGCTGCACTTAACAGAGTATGAGAATGAGAAAATGAGACTCTGGAGCAATTGAGCTGTGGAAATTGCGAGGAGGATTTGTTAGGGTTTCGTCTCTCAGTGTTAGAAAGGCGGTTCTCCATGATCTGACCAGTGGCGTCGGCGCTATAGCGCCACCGAATCCCGTTCCCACCATCAAATCTCCAAAACAGAGATTTCTAGGTTTCTAACTATAATGATAGTTCATCACTCGTGCATTCGATGGGATCATTGAATAATTTAGCAAACAACTGCGGCTTTGCACTCCAAAGACGAGGACGAACAAACTCAGTTTCAGACTCAGTTCCGATATTATTTTTAATTAAATAAATTCCATGCAAATTATGAAAACTGATATATAAACCGCTCATTACTCAAGTTACACCACCTGTCACCATTAAAATATTAAAAGTTGTGCTAATAACACTCTTTTTTCAACACTCTTTCAAACACTCATTTTATAAGGCTGCCAAACATTGACGGTGTCTTGGACGGAACTGAACTGGCCTTTACCGTTAACATCAATTGTTATTACAAGGTGACCAACATGTCCGGTCCAGTGGTAATTCTCGTTGGATGAGTTTGAATCTGAGTTTCATCCAGTTGCATTAGCTTTCCAAGCTGAAAATGTGCCAGAAAGGTCTATTTGGGACGGTGACCCGATGTATGGATCAAAGCCAACAATCAAGGTTGAAATCCCAAAGGGTCTTGCACCACCCATTTGTGTGTACTTCTGCTGAATACCTGCAATGTCGCGGGTTATAGGCCATGTTGTACTCAATATATGGGCTATGATGTCATGTAGTTATTCAGACTAAAACTGATCTCCTACATGAAATGTGTGATACATCAATATATAGGAAAAGTTCAATTTCATAATACTTATCTTATCTGAATCTATAAAAGAACCGTACTACTCACGAACATTGCAGGACTAACAAACCTTGAAGATCTTGGAGCTCTTCTTCTGACCTGCACTGGAATAACCAATTACCAACTGAATTAACCATATGAAGAGAATCCATATTCACATTAAGCTTATACTAGTAACAAACCAAGCCAAACCAAACCAAGAAAAGAAAAGAAACCCACCAATATATAGTAGAATCAATTTCCTGTGGCAGAATACCAAAGTAGTGCTTCCAAACAGAATCTTCCCTTGACCTCTCTCTTATGAGAAAGAGTATAACAGACAACTATGGCTTCAACTCACTACACACTCTCCCAATCTCTGAAGCTGCAACTGCATCTGGATTTATCCACAACCTTTTTGGAACCTGCAAAATAACATCATTCCTAGAAATGTCTCTGAGTGCAACCAATCCTGGACCTTCTGTGACCACACTAGCTTTCACAGGGGTCTTGGCAGTGGTGACACCTTCTTCCTGGAGCCACTTCCAGAAGGTTTGAACTGCTGGAGACAATGATGGTTCGGTTCTAACAGAGGCTACTGATTTTACAGAGAAGGATCTCTTGAGATGAAGGATTGGAGATTTGGGTGTAAAAGATGTACCCTTGTTGGTACAACCTTGAGTTCTGCTCCGCTGCAGTTTCTTCAACAGCCTGAGAAACTTTGGAAAGAGTTGAACTCTTTTCGCTCTCTGGGCTGGTTACATAATTTGTAGTAAGCCCAAAATTGATTCCCAGGCTCCCAAAATCTTATCCAATGCATAAATCATCTACTACTATGATGTGGAAACCTAATAATTCATATCTTTTATCTCTTCTGGAAATTAAAAACTTTAATAGCTGTAGCAAAACTACCAAAGAATAGGATATTGAATGCAAGAAGGACTATCATTGAAAGACCTACAGACGATATTCGGTTCATTTTCTAATCATATCCAAGAGTTGCAGATATATACTCTTTCACAATGCCTTTGAATCCTGGTCCCACAATCGTTGTTTCCACATCACCAAGCTGAGATGTTATAATACCGCGTAATGTCCGTTGAATAGGGCAGATATAATAGAATCAAATCCACCAACCCGGAATATTCTGAAACATCCATAATCATTGTCACAATATTAGTTTTTAGAAGCCGATAGAAAAGAATCTTTTGGTGGTTTAACTAGTCAGGAAAATTAATTGGATTTTAGACTCCATCTGTGAAAATAACACTACACACTCTAATTGTAAAATATATTGTTTGAACTACAATATTATTATGACACTGTTAAATTAATGACTAATTTATTTGAGTTTGGAAAGCAACTTTCTAAATGTAAGGCATCTCAGTAACAACTTGAAAGATTTGAAAAGAATGAAACTTCAAAAATTTCTCAGTATAGCATTACTCACCGCTTTTGGGATAAGAAAACTAGAAAGAAACTTATCAAGGCCTTACTACCTGCTAGGGATTGATAGGCCAAAATTATTATACTCCTTTCAACATTGCAGTTGGTGCTGAGCTTACAGTTCCATTACTATGCGCTTGTCCAACGTCAAACCTGAAAGAAAAAGAGGTTACCTCTCGGAGATCGATACACTTCACCAATGTCCATGTTAGACTGTCCACGCCCACTAAAGTTGGCTTTCCCAACAGTCTCTTAAGGCCTACATATAACTGCGAAAAAATAGAAAACAAAAGTTAAGAGTGGCATATATAAGTAAATAATATATGTCGTAAATTTCTTGTAGTCAGAGTGTTTGCAAAGTTTCTTGTAGTGAACCATGAGTAATATGCAATCAAGAGAATATTCTCCTCCGGCTTGTGGATTCAAACTACTTCGTTAGTGAAAGTTAGAAAAAGCTAGTAAATAATATATGTCGTAAATTTTAATGCATCATAGCATAGTAGTTAAAATTAAACTAAGAGTCATAGAAAGCGCACTAAAGACTTAAATCAGACCTCTTCTAAAGCCATAATAGTCGCAGGGACATAGTCAAGTTGGCGTGCACCATGGTTGGAAACAATGATTCCAGAAGCTCCAACTTGCATGGCTAACCGTGCTACATTATTATTAGCATAGGATTATAGAATTAATAAGTAACAACATATGGATAAGAAAGTCTTAAATAAAAATATATGATATAATTGGTTCACTTTAGGTATAGTTATTTTGAAAGTAAACTCTAGAATGTATCTTTGATAAGCTTACTATCTTGAGCAGTAAGAACTCCCTTCACTAAAATAGGAAATGGGGTGATTGTTTGAAGCCATTTTACATCCTGTTACTGTTAGAACACAGATTGGTTCTTAATAATTACTCTTTGTTTTGATGATAACTGTTAGGAAATTTATATTTAAGATTTATATACTCTAAAATTTGTTTGAGAGTTTTACTGCAGATTGTAATTACATTAACTCTCTAGAAGCAAATCTGCCTTGAATATAAGAAGTTATTCTGACTCTGAAGCGCCAGATGCACCTTACAGAAGAATCTGCTTGCTCCTCACAGAAGATCCTGAGCGTAGTCTCCAAAAGGATATGAAGAAAGAAGCTCCAGAACATTCTGAGTCAGAAGCATCTGAAGATAATCAGAAGCATCTGAAGCTGAAGCATCTGAAGTATAGAAGAATATAGACTGAAGAGTTTCTCAAAGCATTAATCTACAGAAGTTTCTGGAAGTACCTACGCTGCCAAGTACTGAAGTTCTGTGTCAAAATGCTCTAATGATCAACACGCTAGAAGCACACATGCTGCAGAAGACTCTGATACAGCATAGTTCTGAATCTCATTAGAAGACTCTGATCCATTCAGACTCTGAAGAACTTGCTGAAACTGAAGAAGTATTTTCAAGAATATATCTGTTGGAACTATTCAATGTCTCTTTCCTTATTTGTGCTAGACACATTTACACAGACAAAAAGGATTTTTCTGTGCCATCTATTTCAAGGAAAGGTCAGTTGATGTGAAGACAAAAAGGCTCAGACCTTTTGGGACTCTCTTTTCAACGTTCAGCTTGCATGGTTCAGCTGCCTATAAAAGGAGATCTTCACTACTTTCTTCAGTTACACACTTGCTGAAAAG